TTATTGTCCCCAGGTTACAGATGAGGAGATGGAGGCACAGAGAAGTCAAGCGGACAGACATCACAGAGTAATTGAGCAGAAGGGTCAGGAATTGAATCCAGGCAGTCTGAATCCAGAATCCTGTCCTCTATTATAGTTTGTTTATTACATTTTAAACTTTGAAAAATTGGGCAATGAAACACATGTGGAGAAGTGCACAGATCATAAATATACAGTTCTATACAGTATAATAGGGGTCATCAAACTGTGGCTCACGGGTCAATTCCAGGTTGCCATCTGTTATTGTAAACAAGGTTTTATTAGAATACAGCAATACCCGTCATTTACGAGCTGTCGGTAGCTGCTTTTGAACTTCAGTGGCAGAGTTGAGTGGTCAAGACAGATGCATATGGCTCCCAAATCTTAAAATATTTCCTATATGACCCTTTACAGAAAAAATATCTGTGAATCCCTATGTTATCACACTGTGAGCACGGCTACCACCCAGGTCCAGAAATAGAACGTACCCAATGCCCAGAAGGCCCTGACATGCTCCTCCCCGACCACTGCTCCTTCTCCTACCTAATGATAACCGCCTCTACTTCTCACACTGTGGATTGGCTTTGCCTGTTTTCAACTTTGTGTGAATGCAGTTATACTGTATGTGAGCTCTGCCATCTCAATTTCTGGGCTATGCTGGGGTGCTTAGCATAAGACCACAAAAAAATGGGAAGCCAGTCTCATTTGCCCTGAGCACTCAGTAGGTGAGTATCTAGGAGACAAGGCACACTGGCCCATGCCTTGCTCTTCTGGGAAGAGGACATTTGGTGTTCACCATTTTTTGGTCCCAAGTTGAATTGCAGCACTTTTTGACTATCTCTACAAGTTTTCTACTGCTGCTCTAACAAACTACCACAAACTTAGTATTTCAAACAATACGGAATTTATTTTCTTCTGGTTCTCAAGGTCAGAAGTCCAAAATGATCTCACTGGGCTAAAATAAATGTCAGTAGGATCGTGTTCCTCTGGAGGCTCCTTGATTCCCATTCTACACACTCTTCCCGGATGATGCCTGTTACTTTCATGACCTTACTTACGGTCTCTGTGCTGATGACTTGCAAATCTCTACCTCTTCCACCTCCCTTCTGACCTTGAGACCTGCATCTCCAATTCCTTGACTGCCTGTCTGACATCTTCTCTTGAATGCCCCCACACACCTTGAACCCACACGCCTGCACTGACAGAACTTCCAGGGTTTACCCAGCTCCCAGACTGGTACCACTTTCTACCTAATTGCTGAAAGCTGATTTCCTAAAACTTTCTGGATTTTTATCTCTTATTTAACCTCTAAATTCAGTCATTTATCTCATTCTGTCCATTCTAAGCACTAAGGATACCTTAGTGCTTTCTGGGTATATCCATGTCTCAGCATCTCCACTGTGATGGCTCTAGGTCAGACTTCCTGATTTTTGTCTAGATCACTCTGCCTATATCCCAGCCATGGTCTTGCCCCTTCCACATGGTAGCCAAAATGGTTTATCTAAAGCAAAATCTAATCCTCTCTTTTCCCCATAGAGTTAACCCTTCAAAGACAGGTTTGTGCCTTGTTCACTACCATGCTCTTGACACCTAGCAGAGCACCTGTAACAGGAAACTCTCAATAAATACATGTTAGTTAATTGCAACTCTGACCTATCCATCTGCTGCAGGCTCTTCTTTCATATCCTCCTACCTCATTGGGCTTTCTCCGATTCTAAAATCCTCTATCCTGACCTGGGTTTCCCTTCTCCTTTCTCTCACCTCTGTGATTCAAGAGCATCTTCTTTCCAAGAGTGATCTCTACCTTAATCACAGTGCCTGGTCTATAGCAGATTTCTAATGTATGTTTGATGAATTAATGAATGCTTACATGAATAAAGAAATGGAGTCATGAGGCTGTCAGGGATCATTTCCCAGAATTTGCAAACATGCTCAGACTATTTTTATCATCCAATTGAATATTGTAGGGCAGGAAATGAACAGCTGATTTGGGCCAGGAGGGACTAGGAAAGGTTATCTGGTCCAGTCCCCTGACTCAAGGCAACATTTCTCAAAGTATGGCAAGTCCTGTAAGATACTCTAGGAATTCAGTGAACTAGGCCACAGTTCACCTTCTGTTGGGGACTGACATTGCATCGTAGCATACTGAAGAAGAAACAACTCGACAGTAAAAAGAACTCCTCAACTTTTACCCTTTGAGTTTTTACTTTTACCCTACTGTTTCTCAAACAGAGGTGCCATGGGGCCCTTTCTTTCTGGTAATAGTTACTGACATCCTGCAGATCCAGTGCCCCAGTTGATATACTGTGGGCACTTGTCAGCCTAAACAAACCTTGACTTTTTGTGTGACTCAACTTTTATAAGGTGAAGAGAATTTATTTCCAAGAATATTCTCCCTGCAGTATGAGTTGATTGTGTTCAGAGGAACCTGAAAATGACATATTTTTTTTTAACCTGCCAGAGCAGAAGCAGGTTTTAATGTTCCCTTTGTCAAAGTAAGCTTTGCCTTTAGTTGGAGGGGAGGAAGAAAACCCAAGTAATTATATAGTGACGGGGACTGTTCTTTTTTCTCCCATTGAGTACCAACGTCGGTCTTCTTGAACAAAGGTGCTATTGAAATTGTGAATCATAAAATTGATTTTTCCAACTTCTGGGCACCAGCTGGGCTCAGTAGGAAAGGGTCTCTAGTACAGAGGAAGGCATTTTTAGCCAGAGGTACCTTATTGTGTCCTTCAAGGGCTTCATACAACTATTCTGCATGCCATTTGTTCGTTCCACAAACATACATAGAGCCTCCATTCTGGTAGGTGCTGGCAATATCCAGATTAACAAAACTCACTTGTGGCCACCCTGAGTGAGTAAAGATGGAATAAATTCATATGCCATTCTTCTCCTCCGTTTTTAGGGCACTCAGTATGGACCAATAACCATGCTAGGTGCTTTCATTGTCTCTTTTTTTTTTCTTTTCAGAATATAAAACTTTATTATCCTCTTTAATTTAAGGCAGAACTACATCAGTCTAGGTCAGTTTCTTTAGCAAGATTACAAATCTCAAGAATCTTCCATTCTACTTCCTTATGCTTCTCTCTGTTTTTCAAATGCATAATTATTAAACAGGATTAAGTGTGGCTATTAGAAGAGTGACTTAAGAGACAATCTATTTCTCTCACATCAAGGCCACAGGTAGGTAGTGGCAGTGCCTTCTCTGCCTGAATAGCAAGCAGCAGTCACAGGTTTGGAAGGACATTCACACTCACAGGACCCAATAGGTCTTATGGGACTGAACCCAGTACCAGACTCACTTAACTTCATAGGAAACAGCACAGCAGTGGGGTGCTTGTTTCAACAAGAGGTTTTACTCTGGTGCCCAACTGTCAGTTCAGGTATAAGGACATAAGATCATTTGGATGGGTGCAGAAGCCATGCTGGCTTAGAACCTTCAGGCTTCCCAAGAACCAACATCTCTTGAAACAGCCATGACAGTAGCTTTCAGGAATCTTTTAACAAGAAACACAGTCCTTGGGGTGCCTGGCTGGCTCAGTCAGTAGAGCAGGCAACTCTTGATCTCAGGATTGTGAGTCCAAGCCCCACATTGGGCATGAAGCTCACCCAAAAATACAAACAAACAACCAAACAAAAAATACACAGTGCTTAAGTAAGTCCAAAGTCTGTATTTTCCAATGGGCATTTATAGCTGTTGTAGTCTTCGTGGTCTAGACACAGTTTACCAATAAGGGGTCTTTTTTTTTTTTTTTTTTTTAAAGTAGGCTCCATACACAGTGTGGAGCCCAATGCAGAGCCTGAACTCATGACCCTGAGATCAAGACCTGAGCTGAGATCAAGAGTCAGACACTTAACCAACTAAGCCACCCAGGTGCCCCAATAAGGGGTCATTTTTAATCACAAACAATATTGCCTGACTTCACAGTTGACATTCTATTATTATCTTCTCTAGCATAAAATCCAGAGAAACAGTGCCAAAAGGTAAACTTGAAGTCATTTCACCAGAGAGAAAAAGAAAGGGTTTATTATTAACCTTCTTTATTCTTGGCAGTCCAGGGTAGCATCATATCAGGATCCAATCTTTTATTTTGTTGCTCTGTCACTCATGGCTCCTATTTCCAAGATTTCTTTACAGTCCAAAAAGCCTGCTGAAGCTCTAGCCACCACATCCATGTTCCAGCAGGAAAAAAGAGAAGATCAATGGGCCCATCTCCCTTTATGCTTTAAAGTTTAAGGAAACTTTCCAGAAGCATCCACCACTCAACACTTATAATTCTATGTCACTGGCCAGAACTTAGTCATATGGCCACATACATAATATATACATATATATGGGCACATGGCTAACCTGAATAAGTCTGGAATTGTTACAAAATAAAAAAGAAAGAACATGTCATTAGCAAGATGGGTCAGAGATAAGATGATGGAAGAAGCAAGAGATTTACCGGCTTTGAAGAGAAGAGGACCATAAGCCAAGGAATGTAGGCAGCCTCTAGAAGCTAGAAATGGCCATCAGATGACAGCAAGAAAATAGGACACTGATGCTTCAAAGTGTCAGTGTTGGCAAAGAATTGAAATCTGTCAACAACCAAACGAAAAAGGAAACAGAGTCTCTTCCACCCCCAACCTCCAGAAAAGAATGAAGTCCTGCCAACTCCTTGATTTTAGCCCAGCCCATGTCAGATAGCGAACTTACAAAGCTGTAAGATAATACACTTGTGTCATTTTAAGCCACTAAGTTTGCAGTAATTTGTGATGACTGCAATAAAAAACTTATACACTTTCCTTAATAAAACTTCCAATTTAAAGGACTTATCGGAGAAGGGTCCCTATAGTCATTTATACCAGATTTTTAAAAATTCAATTCATATCGGGTCCTTAATGATGGGTATATTAAACTATGTTATAATCAGAAATGCATGTATAACCAACAAAACTAGTAAAATAGTGAACAATTGAAAGCTACACGGTCAATTATTTTATATAAAAACTCCAAAAAGTTTGTTACTAGTTATAATGAGAAATATTTCATCTAAGAGTGATTTCCAAGGCAGTATCTGGAGTTTCCATAAAAAAACATAACCTTCCATCTCAGAAAAAAGGATATCAAGAAGAGGACCAGAATTCTCTACTTCCAAGTTCAGTGATTCTCCCTGTTCATAACTCAAGTTTGAATTATCTTTCCTTTGAATCTCTTGCTCTTCCAACTCCAAAGATTTATCTGAAGCTGGAGCTATAACGGTGTCGTCTTCATTTTCATGCAGAAAGCTACAAATCATGTTGGGTCTATAGGAGAAATCATTGTCCTTGATTTGCAGCCATTTCACACCACCTATGCCTTCTTCTCCTTTCTTTTCTGTCAAAAAAGTTCTTGTCATGCTGAGTTTCTTCATTGCATGGCATTTATATTTTAGTATTGTTTTATTACTGCCTTCTGCATCACCATGTTCAACATTTGCTTCAAATGTAACATAGGTTCCATGAGTGTCTTCATACACTCCAGCAAGGACGTAGCTGCCCACTTGTAGAATGGGCCTCTCACATCAGGGAAATCCAAATCAAAACCTCAGTGAGATACCACCTCATACCAGTCAGAATGGCTAAAATTAACAAGTCAGGAAACAACAGATGTTGGCAGGGATGCGGAGAAAGGGGA